TACGTGGCATAAATGGGAATTTCAAACCACAAGGGTCCAAGGAGCCATGCTCTTTCAGATGTTGAAGCTGGTTCTGAAGCCACAATGTCATATACTTGGTGCTGATGTTTATGTTCTTTAAGGCAGATTATTCATTACCAAAAACGAAAAGAAACGGTATTTTTATATTGTTTTTAATAAAGTTTTGTTACTGACCTTTTTTCTGATTATGAAAGTAATATATGTTCATTTTAAAGATTTTGGAAAACATATAGGAATTACAAATCTTACTTTAGAAATTTGTTGTATCGCATTATTTCTTTAAGTTAAACCTGGTTTCAAAACTTCATGCCAGGGTCAGATAGGGCCCCAGGGTTCTTACTAGAGAACAGGGTTCACAGTGTAGTTACTACCGAGATTCCTGTTGGCCTGCCCCGTGTGATCTGTTGAGGTCCAGCAACTGTCTTGTTTGTGGGCAGCCTTGGGCATGAGGGTCTTGCCGAGGCTGGCAGCCCTGGTCAGTCAGTGGTCAAAGGTCAGCCTCCGGAAGCCCACAGGTTTCTAGAGTGCTCAGAGGCCTCACTAACAGAAAGTGTTGACCTTTTTTTCCATAACCCTGTGAATTACTGTATTGTTTTCTCCTCTTTTCCTTCTAAGAAGATGCTAGGTTCCCTTTCTCCTCTAAAATACCCTCTGAGATAAATTCTTTTCAGTGAGTTTAAGCTTTGAACGGTTGTCTTTAGACAGCTTTTGCTTTTAGCCTGGCTGCCTGGAGGGTCCCTGATCAAGGGAGCACAGAGGGTCTTCTGCTTTAAAATGGGGTAAAGGAAGATTACAGAACTATAAAACAGACAAGGATTCAACAACCATGCCGCCACAGAGAGCAAAACCCGAATGAGAAACTAAAACTCACTCTCTGGGAATAACTGTTGTTTGGAGATACTCCCCCACCCCTACCCCCACCCCCACTCAAGTATGTTGTGTACAAAAGGGGGCTTATTATTTCTGTAAGTTAATGAAAGGTCTTTTTCTCATATTAATATATTGAGATGAGACAACTTTAATGTCTCATCTTTATAACTTTCATATTTCTGAAGGTTTTTTTTTGGGGGGGGGATATTTGGCCAAAGATACTTAAAAACCCCTAGGGGCAGTGCTGTCATTTGGTAAGTTTATCTGTGCTCCTTCTGTGGGTTCTTCAGACCCTGCCCCCCCTTCCGTATCCTGTATCCCCCTTTTATCATTCTGAAGGAGCCTTGGTGGCACAGTGGTTAAGTGTGCTCAGCTGCTAACCAAAAGGTGGTGCCTAGAACTTGCCAGCCGCTCCGTAGGAGAAAGATGTGGCAGTCTGCTTCTGGGAGGACTTACAGTCTTGGAAACCATGTGGGGCAGTTCTGCTCTGTCATCCTATCAGCAGAATCTGCTTGATGGCGATGGATTTGGGTGTTTTTTTTTTTTTGGTTATCATTCTAATCCTCTGGCTGCCTCTAAACCCTTTCTTTTGTATTTAGGGAATCTGGGGATAACATTGATTTCTCCATGAGACATTGGTAGTTAGCGGAGGATCTAGTAAAGCACTTTGCCTGGGCCAGATAGCACACAGCACACGAAGCCCGAAATGGAGTCAGAATTGCCCCCCAGCATCTGTAGTAAAGAGAAACTGTGGAGCAGGAATACTTTTGTTGGGGCCTGGGGCATACTGGGCAATTTCTTATTTTCTCCACCAGATGACAGCATGGCGCCTCTTCTACCAAACCAAAAATGAATACGGGCTACGAAAGCAGGAACACATAGGACTCACACCATTCTCGTGATGACACACTGTTAAGAAAGCACCCAGTTCTCACCAGTGAATATTGCAAACCATTTGGAACGGGAACAGGGTAGATTAGGGTACATGTGTCGTTTTGATTAGTGTTCTTACCTTTCATGGAATTGAATGTAGGCTCAGGATGCCTTTGAGCTAATCTGCAAATACAGATTTCACTCCATACTTTGAGAAATGTTTATGCATGTGACATTTCCAGAGTCAGGGTAGCCATGTTGCCCACGATTGAAGTCTCCTCTGCAGAGAGCTTTCAGGAACCACACATATGGTTGGCGCCAGGCCGACTGCAGGTGTAACTGCGTGTGGGTGTGCACTGCTTGTCCACTCCAGGACAGAGACGAGGAACGCAGCAAAGCTGAAGGGGGCACGCAGCCTTCCGCTGGTTCCTGACTCGTGCGCTGTGCACCTCAGCTCGCCTCTTCTGAGATCTAGCTCATCCTAGAGGTGACTGGAAAGTAAAGGCCATAGGCAGTGATGTCTCCTCCTGGCTTTGAAAGCATTTCACCAGATGTAGACTGACATTTTGCCTCCTGTTCTTAGGCTTATTATTCCACTGACCCACTGTGTGACCTTGGACAGCGACTTGGGCTTAAGAATCTCATTTTTAGTTTAGGTCCAGTCCAGGCTACCTGATAAGGGGACCTGCTGTTTGTACTCACTCTTCCTGGGATTGAGTGTAGCTTTCCGAAGGATTCCTGGTGGTGCAGTGGTTACAGCGCTCGGCTGCTAACAGAAAGGTTGACGGTTCAAGCCTACCAGTGACTCCACAGGAGGAAGATGTGGCAGTCTGCTTCCGTGAAGATTACAACCTTGGAAAGCCTTTGGAGCAGTTCTACTCTGTCTTACAGCCCCTGTGAATCAGAACTCGACTCCATGGCAGTGGGTTTGTCTTTTTGGTGTAGCTTTCAGAGGGCATTTGGATTTTGTTTATTCTTGTTTGTCCCTGGATTCCTGTTGACTGAACCTGAGGGAAGTATAAAGGAAACATCAAGGATGAAGCTGCCCACTGCCCTTAAACTTTGTCTCTCTCTCCTGTCACACGCTGTGACTTCCCTGTGTCCTCTGGCGTTGAGATTCACTGCTGCACCGCATCTTCTGAGAGGCAGCCTAATTGAGTCTTGCCCAGATCCGTCTAGCTCTGGTTCCACTGTGTTTGGCTACCAGGATTTACTGGCTGTTACTGCCCTTGAGTCTGCAGCCTCTATTACCTTCTCTGTCTCATGTGTAATTCATTACCTATAGGACTGGCTTAGAAATACATTAGGAATTTAATTAACAGTCTCTGCTTCTGATCCTCCTTTGTTTTCCCCTTGTGTCCGAGGAAAATTCAGAGGATGTATTCTGAGGAACCTTAGCTTTTACGTGAGCTTCAGAAGCATGGGAACAAATGGAGACTGACTAGTTGTAGGGGTTATGGAATAGTGCCTTCCTCTTGAGCTGCTTCCTGTGCTGGAAATAGGGGTCACCAGGAGGGGTGTTTATTAGGCCAGCAGTTCTCGAGAGGGTCTTCAGGGTCAAAATTATTTTCATAATAGGTTATTAGTGCTGTTCACTGTTGACATTTGTACTCATGGTACAAAAGCAGTGGTGGATAGAATGGCTGGTATCTTAGCGCCAGATCAAGGCAGTGGCTCCAAACTATACCACAGCTTCTGCATACTTGCAGGAGTGGGGAGAGGGGATCATTTCACTTAAGAATGACCTTGATGAAGTAGTAAAAACTATTATGGTTTTAAATTTCAACCATGAGCACGTATCTTTTAATACTGTGATGAAATGGGAAGTATGCATAAATACTAAAGGGTGATGGTTGTCCTGGGAAAAGCAAGTGTGCACCTGTTTGGGTAGCAGTGTAAACTAGCCACTTTTTAAAATAGAATACTATTTTTATTTGTAAGAGTGACTGACAGACAAACTGCGATTACTCAGAGTTGAGAGTTTGTCAGACATTTTCTTGAAAATGAAGGAAGTGAGCCTATCACTTAAAGAAAAGTGACTGATAGTATTTGTTGCCAGTGATAAAAATTTGAGCTTTCAAGTGAAAATTAGAATTTGAGAAGGCTTGTATCTACCACTCTGAGCTCTATAGTTTCCCAGTCCTTAAAAGGTTTCTGATGTGAGCAAGGTTAATATTAAAGTGTGATTTTTTAAATATTTTGTAATAAAATGTTTCAGTATTTGGAAGATCTGCAGAACTCCATGAAACAATAGTTTCCAAATGTTGAATGCATGATGTTATATAATCATACATGGGTAAAAGAGTCATTCAAAATTAGGAAAAAAAACCCTAGAATCTCAAAAAGATTCATTCAAAGTGCAGGGACAGACCAGTGGATTTTAATGCAATAGACTATGAAAAAGTCATTGATACAGTTTCATATTCCCCACTACACTAATCTATAAGAACTGTCACCTGTCAACTTCTACTGTAGAATCAAATCATCTACAATTACCTGAAAAGTCCTATATTTATGTAAGGCTATGTTTTCTTCATGTTCTTCAACCTCCGCAGCCTTTCACAATAGATTGAATGAAGAGACAGATATGAGAATCTAGCTTATGTTAGCATGTGATGTGTTTATTTTTGAATGAGTTAATAGTTTTGATTTTTTTTTTTTTTTAAACTCATTTAAAAATAACAAAATAAACCCATTACATATATTTTTGAAGGAGCTCTGGTGGTGTACTGCCTAAGGCATTTGACTGCTAACCAGAAGGCTGGAGGTTCAAACCCACCACCCACTCCTCCGAAGGAAGACTGGGCAATTTACTTCCGTAGAGATACTGCCTCGGAAAACCAAGGAGCTTTTGGTGAAATTTTACATAATAAATTAGGTTCCCATTTGACAGCTTCTATTGTTCAGTGACATTAGTTACATTTTTGATAATGTGTCAGCATCTCTTCTGCTTGTTTGGTTTCTGGTATTCTGGTTTCCTTGCCCCTTTATCTCCTCATCTTTGCTTTAGAGTAAATTTTGACCTTTTGGTCTCATATAGATGGTTTTTCAGTAGAGTACCATATTTACAAATAATATCCTTTATTTTGTGTACCACAGTGTTAGTTCACTAAAAGGTGATCTCCAGGGTTAGTTTGGGGTCAAGGTTTAGAGTACCTCAGGCAATAGTAGTCTCAGGGAGTCTTCTGGTCGTAATTCATCCACTGAGTCTGGACTTTTTAAGAATTTGAATTCTGCTCTGTGTTTTTCTCCCCTTGTATCAGGGTCCATCTTTTGTGGCCCTGATCAGAATTGTTGGTAGGGTAGCTGGCATCATCTAGTAGCTGTCTTCTCAGGTTAGATGAGGCCATGGCTCATGGAGGCTATTAACCTTGTAGACTAGTTTCTTCTTTGAAACTCTGGTTTCCTTCTTACTTCTTAGCTCCTTAGATAGCTGTTCACAGGCTTTTAAGACCCTACACACTACTCACTTCATTAGGATACTGAACATGAATTTTGTGAACTCTATTGTGCCAGTTAACTGAGTTGTCCCATGAGATTAAAGTCCTGAGCCTTCAAACATAGAAAACCAATCTTGTAAAGTGTTTGCTTATGTCTGAGAAGTGTCTTTAGTTGTGTCTTCTATGAATATATGTGCCTGCCCACATATCTGTACTTACATGTACATATAGATACTTCTGTC